AGTGGAAGGAGCAAGAAAAGTGAGATGCTGCCTATTTATTTCAAGCACTGCTTTCACTAGCACCCAGGAAAAAAATGAAAGCAAAAATTCTCTCGGGTCAGCACTTAATACAGATACAACAATGAAATATTTATTGTTGCTTATAAAAGCAGACAGGGTCAAGCCCATGAGCCGACTGGTGTTACTAATGCACTGTCAAGCTATCAACTGAGCTCCTGTGCAAATCTCACCAACCTGTTCCATGGAATGAGAAGGCTTAGGAAGCCTGTAGGCATTAGAAGTATAGACATTACAGTCTTTTCCAGAGTGCTAATTGTTGCCACTGCCACCAGTACCACAACTGACCTCCACAAAAAGAGATTTTTCCAGCCCCACCCCAGTAGTTTTACTGGTTCTAAGGAAGTATTTGAGTGCCCTGTAGGCCTAAATGAGGAAGCCTTAATCTCCTGCAAAGTTCAGACCACTAAGGCTGATAAAATCCATTCAGCTTTCAGGGTAGATGCTACATGAATTAAAATATTACCACACTCTACATCCTGTAGAAATTCTGCATTTCCTCTGACACTTGCTCCTCTCAGAATGGCTATTACTTTTGACTTTACAAATCATTTTTTATGCAAATGGCTTTCAGACCACCACAAACACAGGACTATTGCAGTTTTCAACAGCACAGTTGAGTGTTATCATTCCAATTAACACAAGGCACTATGGTTTCTTCTCCTGGCAATGCAGCTGCCCATGCCAATGCTCTAAAATCAGAGCCCATATCCCGTGGTCCTGCAGCAGAAGTGGTGGGGCAGGAGGCAAATGAAACCCTACAGTGCCAGACAATGGTCACTTCCAAAAAAACCCCAGGAAATTCTAAACATTTCTCAGGAAGCATTAGCTACCTGTGTGTGAACTGGTTGTCTAAAGCAGTCTGGTGACATAATTTATAAGATGTGCAGGAAGAGATCCGTTTCCATAGCGATTCCAGCCACCTTCTGCCCAGATGCAGGCACTCTCCATGTTCCTGGACACAAAACACAACTGCTGTAGAAGACAGGCCTAGGTGGCAATGGCAAGCTGGAGAACAGCAGACAAACAGAAATTATCTCTTACGTGGCCACGTTTAATCCAAAGTACAAATTCAAGTTTGTGACATACAGGGAGGAAGGAAAAATAACAGACTTAAAGATCCAGCTACCTCGCTCACATGATAGATGTAAGTACTTAGAGTAAGTCAGCGAAGTAAAAGCTTTGGAGGGAAGGAAGAATTTTTAATCTCTATTCCTATCTGGAGACTTTCATGCAATATAGTGCAAGCACTGGGAGCTTTGCCATACAAAGGCTCTGAGCACCATACAGCATTTGTCCTCTTTCAGACTCCAAGGCAGGAGAAAGGGAAGAGGCAGGGGTCTGACTTGTTCTCTGAGAGGGGAAAAAAAAAAAAATCTCACTCTTCAAGAACATACATCAGCAACTTGCTTCTTTGCAGAACTTTAAAGCCACAATACTTTCTTCACTTGCCTTGGAGAGAAGGTGGCCCTGGAAAAGCCCCCTTTTACCCTTCCCTTGCCAAGACCAAAGTGAGCAAGACTGCAGTGCAACCCACAAGCATTAGCCCTGTGAGGCCCCAGGCACGTCCAAGCCCACAACAGGTTAACCCTCAGTCCCATAGTACCTACACAGATGTTCTTGTTGAAATCATTCAAGGAGTGGATGCACAAAGAAGTCCCACAGCAAATACAAGCACATTCAAAGGTAAAAATGAGCAAGGAAGCATAAGGTCTAAACAAAAGAAGCTAGAGGCAAAAATAAAACATCATCATGCCAGACTGGCTCTAAGACAGTATGAAGACAATCCTCCTCCTACTCTTATCTGTATCTTCCTCCCTTTTCTGCACTATTTGGTTTCCTCAAAGTAAGTTTCTAATCCTCATTCTCCCAAGATGAAATGTAGAAGTTCCTCTCTGCATCTATCTTCTATGCTGTGGTTACCCTTTTTCACAAAACAGTTGTTTCATAAAGACTGCAGCAGGACTCAAAAAAAAATGGCATGACCTTCCTACAGTCCTTCTGATGGAATAAAGCAAACAGCATTTCACCTTCTTTGTCATAATATACCAGGTAACTGTTTCCTGAAGTTTTGGGGACAAGAGAAAAAAAAAATTAGCATCAACATAGCCTCCTTTTTATGGTCAATATTCTTAAAGTACAAGCACCCAGTAAAGTGCTTATTCTATCACCTGAAAATTCCTCTCACCCCTCCCAATGTCTATACCATATTTTACAGCTCAAATCCCTGCCATGATCACTTTCCCCATGCTTTGTGAACACAAATCTGTAGCATAGTGAAAGTGAATCTACAAGAACAGCATAAAACACATGGAACTGGATATGCAAATAAATATAGAACTGTTCAGATTTTCTTGGATTTCTGTTCTAATAATATATACCTCCATTTCTGAAAGCACCAGTCATGCTGCCAGAGTTTTTCAAAAGGCAGAACTATGGACCAAGATACTGTGCACAAGACTGGGGTCAAAATGTGACAGGTTGAATGCCTAATAGTGAATCAATCACATCATTACATTGGCATTTTCCATAAAGAGACAGTTACTCATGCTCAAAGTTGCTGGACACAGTTTTCTTTCCTTTCTCCCTTCCCAGCTCATATAGACACTTGTTTTGTCTAATTAGTTGAACATTTATCCCCTGACAGGTGATAGCGGGCAATACTACAATCATCTTTCCCATCATCCCTGTTTAACCAGAGGAAGTGATTGCAGGGAAGTGAAGTCCTATTTCCCTGGCTCATGCTGCCATAGGCAATCAATTTGGAGCAAAGGTTCCATCTTGAAAATGTCAAACAGAATGGAAAAAGATAAAATAAAAATGATAAAGTCAGCTCCAACGATTCCTCCAGGTCCAGCTGCTCTCCTGGGTTCTTCTAGCACAGCTGACAGCACAGCTAGAGGAATATCTGCTTTCTGTGCTGACTGGTGCCACGGGGTCCTCAGTCTCAAGTTAATTGCCTCTCCTCCACTCCTGCAATTCGGGAGAAACTACTGGAGCATCAGTCCTGCTCACCAATGTGAGAAAAGCAGTTTGCTGGGCATGGCTGGAGTCCTCTCTCCTCTGATCCCCCAACCCAGGAAACAGACAAAGCAATAGATTTCCTTCCCAGGCACGATGGTTTGCTAACTGTGCACCAGGGAAGGAAAATAACCACTACTGAAATACAAATATGGCAAGGACAGCAGTAGCTTCAGCCTGGAAAAGGCATTGGTCTTTAGTAGGGTGACCAGACACTCTGGTTTCAGCTTTCCAGTTCCTTTGAAATTCTCCAGGATGCCATTTTGTCCCAGTGTTTCATCAGGAGATACTTTTTTCTCTACCTCATGCTACAGATCTGAGAAATTACCCATAGCAAGAACAGGAGGAACAACAGGCCTGGGCCCTGCTCCTTTTGCTGTTTGTCACACACAACACTTGTCAAAAGGGAAATTCTGAATGGGAAATTGTTCAGAGGAAAATAATGGCCATGGTGATTTGGAAACACTGTTCTACCTCAGGATGAAGTGTTGAGCTGAAGTAGCTATGCTCTGGATGAAGCTAGTCCAGAAGTACAGAACCAAGTCAGCTGCTAAGACAGGGACTAAAATTACAGAGACTTTCTGAAGCGACTTAGATTCTTACCCCACTATATGTCTACTTGCCTGCAAAGGGAGAACATCCCCCTCAAACAAAACACAGCTTGAAAAGACTGGTATTGCACTTGTCTTAAAAGAGATGTTTTAGAGAAAAACAGCAAGGTTGCTGTTCCTACACAGGAAATAGTCATATAGGTTCAGTTCATTCTTAAATGCAGTGACCTCCACATCCTCCAGTGGCTAACCCCATACACCAAGCACTCACTCACCACTGCACCTAACTGCTCTGGGGAAGGGAGCGCTTCAGCAAAGCACTTCTTTCCTTGCCCATCTTTAGATAAGGAGGCTTGAACTTCAGTTCTGTCTGCATCTACCTACACTTATCTGACTCATGAACTAGCAAAAAAATCTGGGTCAGAAATATGCATGCACACCCACACACTCTGTGTACCCTCCCCACAGAGGGAACAAGCAGCCTCACCCTGAAAGTGCCTCAGATCAAATTAGATATGTAAATGTGTGAGCACAGTGTGTCTAGACTGCCACTTTGGAGACTGCTGAATGCCCTGCTGAAGGCTCCCATCAGCTGCCAACACACCAAGCTCAGGAACTTGCTGATCCCAAGGGATGCACAAGCCAAGAGTGTTACACAACCAGGTACTATTAGCAAGTTGCAGTGGCATCTTTCCTTGTGAATTCCACCTCTTCCATTTTATTAGTGAAAACCCATCTCCAAGATGAGAAAGAAAAAAGCTTTAAGGCCAGTCAATACATCTCAAGGCAATTCCATCCCTGTCAGATCTCATTGCTTCAGCAAATGTTACAAGTTGGTGACCACTGGCTACAATCTTCACTAAGGGCTAAGCTCCTTCCCTGTGCCTTGAAGGGTACCACACTTCTCTTTCTAGGTCTTCAAAGGAGAGTGATCCCACGCTCACCCAGGAGCCACAGGCAGCAGGACATATTCTGCAATAAAAGCCAGCAATGAATTTTGCTGGAAGCAGGTAACTCGGCAGCAGCAGGAACTGCATGAGAATACGCTCACGTACAGAGCGTTCTACTGAATTAAAAAACAGGGTATTGATTTTGTTATTCATTTCTGTATTTAACTCAATATTAATCTCTGCATACAAATGCCTCTTCCCCACCACCACTTTTTCATGCCTCAGCAGAATTCCTAGTCAGCAGCAGCCACAGAGATGTAGGCCTTAAGAACAAATCGACCAGTCTGCTACACAGACAAACCGAATGTGAGAAGAGGGCTCTGAGCAGGCTGTCAGCCAAGGTCTCTGTGCCCATTTACCAGCAAGCACCTCCTTCAGCCTGCACACGAGGAGAATGGAGAAGAAAGTCAGCAACACTTACGCAAGGCGTGCCACTCATCCTGGCGGATGGTCTTGGTGATGTTGTAGGTGAGGTTCTTGGGAATGGTCGCTGAGGAGTAGTGGTACTTGATGTATGTGCACCGCTCAATTGCTCCTGGGAAGGGCAGAATGCAGAAAAGAAAGTGCTGTTAAATGAATGCAACATGTCCTCCCAGCTGTAGATCAGATGGGCTTGACAATGCAAAGCAAAGGCCAGGAGCAAAGCAATCCCCACCATCAGTCCGCTGTGACAACCAGTGCTGTCTCTGACCCGTGACAGGCACAAGCTACCTGTAGTGGAAGCTCACATCCAGACTCACGACACACCAAAGGCCCTGCAGCAGCTGCCAGTGGCTGCTTTCACTATCAGGTATACACGTAGCCAATCACCCCTTCTTCCATTTCTTTTCCCTGAACCATGAGATAGCAGTTGGCATATGGGCATTTATTGTGGAGAAACTGTAAATTCACATCCTGGCTTATCCTGCAGTAATGTGTCTCAACACCCATATTTCAGGAGATACACAAAGCAAACATCTTTGATCTTTCCTTCAGCAATAAAAAACAGTGCAGAAAAAATAATATAGATAGATAGTGAACAATTTTCCTGACCCCCTTCCACCCCACAGCCAAGAAGCAAGACGAGCAGAAGCATCCATGACAGACTATCCTGACCCCCTTCCACCCCACAGCCAAGAAGACGAGCAGAAGCACACATGACAGACTGTGGTATGTCTTTTGAAGGTACCCAGACATTTTCATAGCAGGCTCAAAACCAGAATTTATTGGCACCCCTGAATAAGGAGCCTCAGATGGCAGCACGAATGGCTGAAATGGGCAATGTTTTTCCCCTGTAGTCAGGATTTCATCTGTGTTCTACAGAAAAAAGCATGACGTGCTGCTTCTGTTTGTCTTCTGGTCCTATTATTACTTTCTCTTTTTACAGCCATTTTCCTTCCTCTATAAGAATCACACCTCCAGGTCCTGATCTCCTGGCATCTCTCTGCCAGGACACTCTGTTAGTGTCCTTAGAGGAACGGGTCTGGCATAGCCCAATGCTTTCCATGAATTATAACACTGATGAAAACCAGTAAGGTTTCCTACATCCATTTTGCCAGCATTTGCACGTAACGATGGCTTTATTAAACTGTCTCACTAAGCAGTCAGATTCAAAGCTCATGAAAGTAATTTTTCCATTATTATTATGGCATTTTGGATAGGGCCCTTAATAACTAATTAGGTATCTTTAATGTGGTTGGCCACACTGTTTGCCACCAGCTACCACTGGTCAGAGAAGCAGATATGCTGGAAATGCTTTTATGTATTAAAAATATATTAAGACAGGTACTCAATAAAATAAATTAAATGAAGCAATTATATAAGAAAGAGTGCTATACACCAAGAAGCAGGTAGAGAACACTTACTGTCAGCCTGAACTCACAAGGTAGACCTATTAGCCTTATATCAACAGCTCCAAGGGGTTAAAAACACTTTTACGCCACTAGAAATACAGGTTTCTACCTCAGGTTGCAAAAATATTACTTGGCATGAGCTGGGATCATACACCATGAATTCACAGCATGGATAAGAAAACCCACGAAACAAAATTATTAGTTACATTGCAGCCTACTAGCATCTTCCAAAGTTAGTGCAATACAAACATCTGAGGTCCTCATTGTTTGCTCCTCTTAAGCATTCTTCACATTCTGCCTCTGACAGCAATTAGATTAGACAAAGCCAAATATTATAGGGGAAAAAGGCAAAATATTTACATATGTATCCGCCTGCCCTGACAGCGTGATGGGCTTCTGTGTGAGTCTGCACCATCTGGGCACCAAATGTACGCCCAGAATTAAAGTTTCAAACCAAGAATAGTGTTTAAAAAAAACCAGCTAGTATGCAAAGAGCTTTAAAAAAAGCCCAAAATCACAACCTTGCCTTCTTATAGTTTTCCCTATACCCTTTTATCAGCTGCTTTCATGGATCAGAACCATTGGCAAGAAAATGGAAAATGGTTATTTGTCAGAAAATAATCTTTAAGTTATCAGATACCTGTCCAGAGAAAAGATTTATATATAATAGCAGACAAGGACACAGAGCCAAGGTTCAAAATAAAAGCGGAAGGAAGGAAGGAAGGAAGGAAGGAAGGAAGGAAGGAAGGAAGGAAGGGAAGGAAGGAAGGAAGGAAGGAAGGAAGGAAGGAAGGAAGGAAGGAAGGAAGGAAGGAAGGAAGGAAGGAAGGAAGGAAGGAAGGAAGGAAGGAAGGAAGGAAGGAAGGAAGGAAGGAAGGAAGGAAGGAAGGAAGGAAGGAAGGAAGGAAGGAAGGAAGGAAGGAAGGAAGGAAGGAAGGAAGGAAGGAAAAAAAATCCTGTTCCGTTTGCTATAACTTCTTCAAGTAATCAGCAGAAAGCACCTCCTCTTACACCAAAGAGGCCAATTTCTGGCCAGGTCCATCAGACTTTTTATTCTTACTGCAAATACTGTAGTAATGCAGTGAGCTCTTATATCACCAAAGCCTAAAGCAGAGAGAGATTACGGCCTGAATTCAGGTCATCACATAATTTTGGGCTTATGCTTACATCCTCATTGCTTTAGTGAGACTTATGTACATGTTTAAAGATTGTCTAGAACTAAGAGGACAACTGCAGTGGCAACAGCTCAATGGTAGCTGAAGTACAGGCAGAAATGAATGGCAAATTCCATTACAATCTCCTTTGTAATCACACAATGTATTTAACACTGTCCCCAGCTCTGAATACCATGCTACTAGCCAAAAACATCATGACTCCAAACAAGACTTTGAAGGGACCAGAAGGTAAAGTGCTCTTCAGTGTACGTGGTGAGATACATCCTCTTTCTTTTTTTTTCCTTTCTTCTCTCTTTCCTTGCCTCTGAAATATCAGGGCTGGCCACTGTGTGCACTCAACAGGGCTAAGCAGAGTACAGAGAATTCACTTATACCCAGGAATTCTCCCCACTACCTGTCTTACACAAGGAAACGTTCCCCCAGGTCAGACAGACAAGGATGCTGCTCCTGGATTTTCATCCTCCTCTGAAGCACTAAGCATAGGCTCGCTGCTAGAATGAGTAAGCCTAGTTAATTTTTTCTTACAGGGCTCAAAATACTTCAGTCTAATCCAAGTTACTGGGTTCAATAAAGGGATAAACAGGTGAAACATAATGGTCTGTGATATACTAGAGGTCACTGCGCATGAGCTAATAGGCCCTTTTGGCTTTAGGCTGTTAAACGCTCCTGTAAGTGCCGAGTTTAATACATTCAGGAGAATGTAGTGCAGAACGTTTCAGAGCTGTCTTCTGTTAGCTTCCAGCACTTCAGTTACCTCAGACTCTAGAACAGCAACAACTGCTGAAGAGAGCGTTCACCCATCTTCATCTGCATGGCCGCTGCTGATAGGAGAGGCAGGCAGGATCTTACTGGGAACCTCAAGCTTTCCATGGCCCAAACTGACAAGGTTTGCAATTGCTTGGCATTTAAACATGAGCCATTTATCTAAACCTGCTCTCACAGGTGTAAATGTGTGACCCTGCTGAATTAATGCAGCTGCATCAGCATATATCTAGCTAGAGGTGAGAATTAGCTTTTGAAACTTAGAAAAGAGTTTTCATTTGCCTGGACCTGCCAATAAAAATTAGGAAAAGGGTAAGTTTATAGCAGTGACAATTTCATTCTTCATTATGTTTTCCTTACTTGTCCCACACAGTAGAGAACTAGGTTCATGACCCCCAAACATCCAGTTTCTGGAGGCCTGTGGGAGAGCAGAGGCTGTGACTGCAGCAAGGATCAGAAGTACTGTTCTCCTGGAAAGTCTTCTCATAAAACCCCTAAGAAATACTTACCTTCATATGAATTAATAGCTATGCTCACTCCAGTCTTTGGGGTGGGAGGGAAATCAAGAGTAAGAAAAAAAACCCACAAACAACACACCACTTTCCCTTCCGTACCCCCAATAGGGTAACTGCAATTTATGGAGCATCTCCAGCCTTCAGCCCTAACTTAGGAAAGCCAAATGCAATTGCAGATGAGCTCTGCATTTTGCTCAAATCACTGGGAACAGTATTTATAGAGCAAACCAGTGAGCGGGTTTTTTCACCTGTGCAGTTCCATAGCAAGCGTTCTATCTGGCCACAAGAAACAAAACAACCACAGTTGCTGCATAGATGCAGTATATTCCATGTTCCTCTGATCAAAGAGAAATGTTTGCTGAAAATCCTAAAGAAAAGTGGCTAATATCTTCAAATAGAGTGCTAGGAAAGGGATAAGCAGTAAGATGCAACCAGAACGATGCAGAGCACAACTGCCATGCCATCCCCATATAAGCACAGATGATCAGAGGCGATTTGGCACCCGTAACTCTATGGTCAGCAACCCCTGGTTCCGGCAAAGTTCAGGTGCCAAGTAAGATTGAGATAAGAAAACTAAAGATAGCTTCATCCAGAGCAGCTAAGTATTCACAGCATCAAACAGGCCACTCCGTATCTGTGGAGCACTGCTGCAAACTATCACCTATTATTGTATTGTATCTCCTCTTATTTCCATCACAAGGGAAATCCTTGAACTGTGCTATAGCAGAAATATCACCTGAAAACATTGTGCAATTCTTTTCTATTCAATTTTCAAAACTATCCCAATGTCAGTTCAGGTGCCAGTTAAACTCGGCTCCTGCTGCATTACCAGGGCTGTAAACACTACCCCAGCAGAGGCCCCAAACTGTTTAGTAACGCAGTGGGTGACTGAACCATCATCCCGCTCTAGGCTGAACAGGGCTGAGATCAATCAAAAGGAAGGTCATACTGTGTTTGTCTGGTGGGTAAATAGACAACTTCTTTCAGAACTTTTGGGTCAATGTCTTTCTTCATCAACAAGGCCCCCTCCCCTCCAAAAAATATAATAGTATTTCAACACATTCCAACTGTTCCAAGAAACAGTCTTTACCCATGGCTAATTTAAGAACTAGAATGAAAATTGAAATGCCACCAGGGTATTGGTCACATCAGTCCTAAAATTTGGATCTCAGAAGCACCCAGAGGTCAGCTTGACTTTTGCAAAGATTGCTGTCAAGTTTCAGGAATTTGTATGGTCACTGTGATCATATA